AGCCGCAGCCGCAGGCGGCGCCCTCAGGTGACCGTCCCGGAGAGCGAGCCGGGGTCCGGGCCAGGGTCCGGGCATGAGGACGCGTCCCAGCCCCGCCCGGGTAGTCCTTTCGGCTCACCAGACAGCCCGGGCTTTGCACCTGGGCGCCAGGGCCAACACTGCGCTTTCAATTAGGAGCACATCTTACCAAAACCACTTTGTTGACGCCGGGCAGTGATTGGGAGAATTCGCGTGGGTCCGTCCGGACCTCTGGCCCTGCTTCCCCCTCCCTTGTCCTTGATCGCATCCTCTTAAAATGTGGGCTTTCGTTGGTAGGGTGGGACGCTGGGCTAAGAACGTACAGGAAAGAGTATTCAAGGAACCAGGCATTAAACCAGCCGCACCACACAAGGTTTTAAAAGCCTGTTTAGTAGATTTATGAAAGCTGAACTCAGCATATATCTTTATTTTCCTATGGATTTCTAATCCTCTTGATCTTATTTTTAAATTTTTTTTTATTTTATGTACATTGGTATTTTGCCTACATGTGTATCTCTATGAGGCCAGGTGTGTTAGTGTATGACTCTAATCACAGCACTGTGGAGGCGTGACAGGCAGGTCTCTGAGTTCTAGACCAGCCAGGGCTACATAGTGAGGCCCTGTCTCAAACAAACAAACTCAGATCCCTGGAATCTGAATTACAGACAGTTGTGAGCTGCCATGTGGGTGCTGGGAAATGAACACAGGTCCTCTGAAAGCCAGTGCTCTTAACTGCTGAGCCTCTCTCCAGCCTATTGGTCTCATTTTTGTTATTTGTTGTTCGGTTTGGTTTGGTTTGGTTTTGGGTTTTTGGTTTGGTTTGTTTGTTTGAGATAGGGCCTCACTATGTAGCCCTGGCTGGTCTAGAACTCATAGAGATCTGCCTGTCACTCCTCCACAGTGCTGTGAATAGAGTCATACACTAACACACCTGGCCTTAATCTCATTTTTTAAATGCAATTAGAATATTACATGATTTGTTAGAACATGTAACAAACAAATCATAAAGGTATTGTCATTTAAAAGTGGTAGAAAATAGCACTTTATTAGTCTTTGTATAATTTCTGGACATAATGAGATAAAATATAGTGGGGATTTCCAAGATTTGAAAAAGTTACCAGTTTTGGGACTCTAATTTTCTTTATTATTTAGGAAGTAACAGGCGTGGGTGGAATGCCAACAGCCAGAGATACTCCAATGTCATCCAGCCATCCAGCTTCTCCAAGTCTACACCATGGGGTGGCAGCAGAGATCAAGACAAACCATTTTTCGGCTCTTTTGACTCTGGGCCTTCCACGAGCAGAGGCTTTGGATCGCCGCCTCAAAATCCTTTTGCTTCACCTGTCTCTGATGAGCAGAAAGATGAAAAGAAACTTCTGTAAGTTAAAGTTTTGTAGAAAGTCACTACCCAGTTGCTTGGTTGTTCCAGAAGCACTTAGTGTTTTCTTTGAAAAAGACTAATTTTGAAAATCAGAGTAAGCAGAACTATTTTTTCAAAGGTTAGTCATTGTCCTCTGCAGTCTTTAGAGTGCTGGGTAACTCAGAACAACTGTAATCCTGTAGATACTGATAATAGCACTTACTTTCTTTGTAAATCCTTTATTTCAGTTACCCTATTTGAAGTTCCATAAATAGTGGATTTTCAGTTTTTGGTTTTTGTTTGTTTGTTTATTTTGGTTTTTGGTGGGGAGAAGGGGATATTTTGTTTTAAGACAGGGTCTCCTTGTGTAGCCCTGACTGGCTCAGAACTCACAGAGATCTTATTATCTGTGCCTCCAGAACGCCCAGCTGCTGAATATCGAACCTAAATTTTCAAGTGTATTGATCAAGCATCAAGTGTGTGTGTGTAAAGAAAGCAAAGTTGTGTTTATTGTGATTCTAACTGTAATAACATATTCTTTGTGACACCTATCAGTTTACTAATGGTCATATTCTAGATGGAAAGAAACTTTAATTTAGAGCCAACTCCATCCACAGCTTTGTTTCAGATTAACTGTTCAGTGCATGGACCTGGGGGCTGGTGAGGTTGCGGGGGAGGTCACAGGTTAAGAGAATTAACTGTTCCTCCAGAGGGCCTGGGTTCAATTCCCAGCACCCACATGGCAGCTCACAACTGTCTGTAACTCCACGATCTGACACCTTCACACAGACATACGTGTAGGCAAAACACCAATGCACATAAAAAAAAAATTTTAATACTTTAAAATTGTATTTCTGATACTGTGTTGTATTTAGTTCTTTAAAAAATATTATATTTCAGATTATTCTTAACTATTATTAGGCATTCTGTGAATTAGAAAGCAACACTATTACTTATTATAGATTATTTATAACTACAAAATACAAGGTGTTGTTTTAGAAGCAAGTTCTCGGGGCTGGAGAGATGACTCAGCGGTTAAGAGCACCGACTGCTCTTCCAGAGGTCCTGAGTTCAATTCCCAGCAACCACATGGTGGCTCACAACCATCGATTATAAAATCTTGTGCCCTCTTCTGGTGTGCAGATATACATGGAAGCAGAATGTTGTATACATAATAAATAAATAAAATCTTTAAAAAGAAAAAAAAGGAAACAAGCTCTCAATGTGCTGATTGGCCTTAAACTCTGTGTGATACCCTGCAAGCCCTCAGAATCCTCCTCGGCCAATCCTGGTGCTGGAATTGCTGTGCTCCACCACACTCAGGTTATAATTTGGATTTCTGTGAACTTCTGGTATAGAAAATACATAAGTTTATATATTTATTTACTAGAATTTAAATGTTTAGTCATTCAGCTTCATAAATAACAAATTTTAACAAACAAGAGAAAATATCCATTACTCTTCCATTGTTATTTATTTTCATTTTCTTTCAGGGAAGGAATTGTTAAAGATGTAGAGATTTGGGAATCATCGGGGCAATGGATGTTTTCTGTTTTTTCGCCAGTGAAAAAGAAGCCTAACATTTCAGGTAACTGGGAAGCATGTTTGGTTGGGTTGTTGGCTTGTTGTTTTTTGTTGAGTGCTGAGGATCAAACCCAGGCCTTCATACATGAAAGTCAAAAGCTCTACCACTAGGCTCTAGAGCCCGCCCAGTGCATGTATGTGTTTTTAAAATAGATTCTAAAGGGACTACTTTCTAGAACTAAGACCATGCTAAATAAATTTACTCCAAACTTAGGAATAGCTAGAATTTGGTCTTTGTTTAAAGTATTCCAACTGAACGTAATTCAGAGACTGAGAGTGGAGAATGTAGTTCTTTTCTGTTGTATTATTCTCAAGAAAGAATAGTAAAATCAGGACCCACCACAGTTCCAATTCCGGCAGTCAAGGAAGAAGCTCTGCTGAATTGGTTCCCTCTGTGAAACCTCAGAACCTCCTAGCTACCACAGCAACCAGGAGGTTCACAAGCCGCTCGCCCGCCATTACAGCCTCCAGGGCCTGGTTCCATTTGTCCTTATTCCCTTCCAAGAGTGTTTCATAAAGCCTGCTGAGACGCCCCTGGATAGTATGAAGATGAGGAGCTACAGGGGTAGTATTTCTTTAGAATACTCCTTTCTTTCCATTTTCTTTTTTTTTTTTCCATGTTCCCTACGACCTCTCTCAAACTTGGGTACTGAGTTTTCCCAAGCCTGCTCTGGGAGATCCTGAGTCTTTATCGTATTGAGGAAACAACAGGCTTGACACAACCAGGAGCCCTTAAAGTCAGTGTTCCAGAATTCTAGGAATGCCATGTACCTCACCCTCACCTCATTCTCGACTTGATTACTTCTATTCATTTACAAATTATTTACTGAGTTTCAATCGTCCTACTCGCTGATGTCTGTGAGCGGGGTTCCCTGATGTGCATGTGAGGGAACCTCAGGGTTCCTCTCAGGAAGCTTCTGTTCTGGAGGAAAGAAAATGAGAAACTGAACTTGATCACTTAAGATAATGATGGTTTCTAAGCCGGGCGTTGGTGGCACATGCCTTAATCCCAGCACCTGGAGGCAGGAGCAGGTGGATCTCTGTGAGTTCGAAGCCAGCCTGGTCTACAGAGCAAGTTCCAGGATAGGCTCCAAAGCTACACAGAGAAACCCTGTCTGGAAAAACCAAAAAGAAAAGAAAAAAGAAAATGCCTACAGACATACCCACAGGCCTGTCCTTAACTGAGGATTCTTCCCAAGAGTGTCAAGTTGATTAGCATCACATACCACCCTTCCCAAACCTGAGAAAGTAGTTATCCAAGTAATTTTCTTTGTTCTGTGATTCAGATCACGGCTTGAGACAATGGAGTACTTGAGGTGGACAGGAAAGTTGCACATGCTTAAGAAACACTGTTAGAGCTAAGCCCTGAGTGAAGAGAAGGTTTCTGTTATTTGGGAAAACCATGTCTAGAAATTATGATAGCTAGTGCAAAGGCCTTGAGTGAGAACCATGAACCCAAATCACTGAGGAAAGGAAATAACAGAAATAATATAGCATAAAGCAGGGCGGTAGCCTAGGCCCACATGGTATGGGATCTAATTACATTGGATGTACACCTTTGAAGAGCTTAAGCAGGAGGTGGGCTGCTTAGAAAAAAGCTCACTCAGTGCACAGGAGGGAGATTGAGGAACAGGAACAAGTCAAGAGGCAGGGAAATGAGTTAGGAAGTGATTGCTGGTGACAGGTTAGAGCTGTTGGCAGTGGAGACAGAATTGGTCAAATTTGAGTTCTGTTTTGAACCAGATTTTGATATTTTAAATACAGAAAAATCCCAGATCTGATTCCCTCTTTGGCCTTCGGGGATACGTGCATACAGAACACTGTATAAATAAATAGATAATTAAATCTTAAAAAAAAAAATGTTAACTGTTGCCACACCAACCCCAGTAGAATCTGTGTGACAAGTCCCATAGACTTAGGTGAAAACTTGAAAGGAACCGGTTGTGGAACTCTTGGCTAGAACAAAATATTGAGCCATAGTTCTCATGGCAGTTTATCTCTTTTATCTTCTATTCTCTTTGTATAGTTACAAGATGTTCCTGATAACCTAGGCTGAGATTTTAAGCCAGAAAAATGGATAAGAAACTATCCCTAGAGATAGGGTTACTAGCCATGACCTTATCTCCAAGAAAACCAGTGCTTTATTTTGTAAATCATTTACAAAATTGCAAATAGTATTATAATAAAAACTTCCCTAACAATAAAATTTCATATGGCTGTATGTGTGTCATTGGAAGTGGTCTTAGGTGTATGGTAAAGAAAGCCTTAAATAAAAAGATTTAAAACAGTTCAGTTTACACCTTGAAGATTCACAAAAGTTAGGTACTAGGTGTTAAACAATAACTGACCATAAAAATGTATTAACCTGATCTTGGAAATATGCCGTTAGCCTTGGATGATTTTGCTCTTTACTGTGCCAAATGACAGGATGTTATCTGTCCTATCCGTGATTGCTCCACTAAACATATCTTCTAAGAATTTTAATGCCTGTTTCATTATGCATAAAAATCCTTGCTTGAGAGATGCATAATACACTCAGATTCAAACTGCCTCTGTGTTTGTTTCTGTTTGTCACTGAAAGACTCCGGAAGCTCAGGCCCCCAAGATCTCAGTCCAGGACCGCAACGACACCAATCACCAGGCGGGGTCAAACGCTTAATGCAAACAGCATGAGGTTTTATTGCAGTTATTTAACTAGCTCACCCCATGTTAGCTCGGGTCTTTCATCCATCCACCATGGCGGATGGCTAGGAAAGATGCAGCAAAGCTACGGCATAGAGATCTTATAGGGCAGCGTAATGGGAGCGTCTAGGGGTACGCACAGGCTCAGGATTGGTGTGCCTCCAGGCTTGGAGGGTTTGCCCTGTGTTGATTGGTCAACTGGTTGTTATGGCCCATAGGCCCTCCCAGGGCAGTTCCTATGCTCTGCACGTCATTGCTGTGCACTTGTCTGTAAAGCACACCCAGAGCTGTAAAGCATAACATCACCAGCTAACTTCTGATTGGTTCCTTGCCACGAGGCAGGCAAATCTGGCCTCCTAGTGACCAAGGCAAGGTCAGACAAGCACGTGCTAGGCTTTTATGGCTGCCGAAAGGGGCAGGCATCTGACCTTAATGACTAAGACATGGTCAGACAAGCACGTGTTCAGCTTGTTCAGTTATGGCTGCCGAAATGGGGAGCTGGTCCCTTCATCACCTCCGAATCCTTACCCATGTAGCCTTCAAGGACCCTTGTCCCAGGGACCCCCATACCCAACTGGGGTGGTCTGTGGCACTGATTTATCATTTGCCTTTTAAATCTGTTTATTATAGACCTAACAGTTTGGGGTTTGTTTTTTGGGGTTTTTTGTTGTTGTTGTTTTGTTTTATTTGCTTTGTTTTGTTTGTTCGTTCGTTTGGGGGGGTGGGTTTTTTTTCTTTGTTTGTTTGTTTTTTGGTTTTTCAAGACAGGGTTTCTCTGTATTGCTTTGGAGCCTGTCCTGGAATTCGCTCTGTAGACCAGGGTAGCCTCAAACTCACAGAAATCTGCCTGCCTCTGCCTCCTGAGTGCTGGGATTAAAGGCTTGCGCCACCAACGCCCAGCCCTAACAGCATTTTTTAGACTAGAGTTTGAAAATGTATATAATCAGATCTTTCATTTTCCTTTCATCCTTTATCTTTACAGAATTCTTCTTCACTCAAAGATGAAATGCTGTATTTTCTTCTGATTTAATAATTTAAGCATTAGTGTGTAGGCTTTGAATTTTTCCTGTGACCTGAAGCTTCTCTGATAACCAGCATTAGCTCGTTTTCTTGTCTAGTACGCCAGCCCTACTACAGAGTCGGCAATACTCACTGTTTAAATCCCAACTGATTCCCCACTTAGGTTTCACAGACATTTCACCAGAAGAGTTGAGGCTTGAATACCATAACTTCTTAACCAGCAATAACTTACAGAGCTATGTAAGTTCATTTCCTGTTCCTCTACCTCAGTAGCAATTGGCTGTCAATTACTGTTTTCTGTGTTTGTAGTGGCTTGCTTGTGTTTGGGCACATTTGGTGAGAACTGTTAATTTTTTATAGACCATTGCCTTTTTTATTTTTTCTAGACTGTTTTCTTTAAAATTGTTTAGTTGTCTGAATTGATAGGGATTCGGGATACTTTTATTATAAATTACCCAGTCCTAGAACTCAAACCATCTGTCTTTTGAAAAATATTATTGCTTCTGTTAGGTGCAGATCCCATGATGAATACTAGAAAAGCAAAGTGACAGAAATGGCAGTTCTGCTAAATAGATTCACACCTTTGAAAAGTAGACATTCAAAAGAAAAAAGTCTGAATGGGTGGGTGAGTAGAATACGCTGTGTAACTTCTGTTGTCTGTAGCCAGGACTATGCTAGTGCACACAACTCCTGTCCTTCCCAGACAGCTCCGTTTCTGCACTGCCAGGGTTCAACCATGAAGATACAGGGACTTAGAGAGCAGAAAGGGGCTGCTAGAGCAGGAGTGTCTCTGGCAAACACGAGCAGGGTTAAGCATTCAATATTGAGTTATTTTTTGTCTTCTCTCTTCAGCTAAATTCTGTTCAACAGCTAGTAAGTCAGTGGAAGAATAGGATTAATGAACTGAAAAATTTAAATATGTCAACCAAAGGAGCTCTGGTGAGTATTGAAGAATTTTCTTCAAAGAAGTATCTATTGTGTATTTTGTGTTGTTGGTTTTTTTTTTTTTTTTTTTTTTTTTTTTTTTTTTTTTTTTGAGACTAAGAGCTCACTAATTAGACCAGAATGTCCTGCAACTTGCTATGTAGCCCAGGCTGATCTTGAACTCAAAGCTACCTGTCTCAGCTTCCTTCCTTCTTGCTGGGATTATAGACATTTTCCACCATGCCTAGTTTTTTATTGCTTTTTGTTTGTTTCTTGAAATGGGGTCTCATCTGGCTGGCCTGGATCTCAATGTGAAGACCAGATTGGCCTTGAACTTACAGAGATCCTTCTGCCCCTACCTCAAGTGCTGGGATTAAAGGTGTGCACTGGTTCTATTGCTCTATTTTTTAATTTTTAATATTTTATATATATGAGTGTTTTGTCTGAATGTATATGTGTATACAATGTGCCTGGTCCAGTGGAAGTCAGAAGAGGGTATCAGATCTCCAGGAACTGGAGTTACAGACAATTGAGAGCTGCCATGTGGGTGCTGGGAATCAAACCCAGGTCCTCTGGAAGAGCAGGCAGTGTTCTTAGCCTCTGAGCCATCCCACCTTCTTGGTGGAGGATGCATCATTTTAAAGGGTAAAATATCTGTGGAGAATTACCTCTGCACATGGTCATTTGTAGTTGAAGCCCTAAAACTTACTTGTTTCTCGGGAAAGTAAGGACAATTATGCTTTTTAAAAACAATTTTTAGGTAGACGTGGTAGCATACTCCCTTAGTTCCAGCACTAGAGAGACAGAGGTAGGCAGATCTCTGTGAACGCCCCTGAAATCCAAGAGAGCCAGGGCTGCTTAGAGAGACCTTGTAAATAAATAAAAGTAAAAACTATTTTTAGCCTAAGGTTTTTAACTGGGGTAAGACTATCTTTAAAAATTACAAATTCAAATACTTAAAGATGTGTTTATGCTGCCTTGCAGTTGTATAATGTTGTTTGAATTTAGTGGGGTTTAGGCCTATTCTGGCCCCAGCTGAGAAGTGACTCCATCTCCATTGATGAGAGCTCATAGAACAGTAACTGAGTCTAAGGAACTGTCTCATCCTCTGGGATGAGTGTTTCTAGCTCTTTGCTTATGTGGAAAGGGTCTGTCTGCTGCTGACCTGAGATATAACCCACCCTGGACTGGCTTTAGCACATATCATCACTGTTCATTCTTTTATCATGAGTATGGATAGACTTAAAATTGTTTAGCCACTTATTTTCCTGTTGGTGACTATTACTTCAAGAAAGAGAAGCAAGGAAAGAACAACAATAAAAGACCTCTGTGAATCTGTCGTATGAAACTGTGGAAGGGACACAGGTTGTCTGTAGTGATGAGCAACTGTGCGGGACAGGAAGTCAAGAAAGGATTGTTGTCTGTCCGGGAAGAGTATAAGGAGCCCCTCAGGGTAATAGTGATGTTCTGGATTTTGATTGGGCTGGTTATGTGTACAGGGTCATTGTAATAGTCATAATAAAGCAGTTATGTCAGTGGTTCTCAACCCCTTTGGAGTCATGTGACCCCTCACAGAGGCTGCATATCAGATACTTACAGTATGACTCATACCAGCAGCAAAGTTACAGTCATGAAGCAGCAACAGAAATAACCTGAGGAACTGTATGTATTGAAGGGTGGCAGCATTAGGAAGGTTGAGAACCACTGCTCTTGTGAGCATGATAAGATACTTGCAAGGGAATGAAGCTCAGCTTACTTGGTTTGATTAAGAAGGTCTTGGAGCCAGGCGTCCCAGCTTTTTCGTCCCAGCACTTAGGAAGTAGAGGCAGGTGGATACCTAAGACCTCAAGGCCTGTGAGTTCCAGGACAGCCAAGGATGCATAGTGAGACCCTGTCTCAAAAAAAGTCTTGGAGGGAAGGAGCCAATGAAAGGTTCCTTGGAGGGCATCTGTCAGCAGCGTAGGACAGTCTACTGGGTTGTAGTAGTAAGCTTTGTGTGACATGGGACCGCACTTGAATTGAAGCCTTTGGGTCTACTGGGCATGCCCTGGTAGCCTTTTCGTCTGTATCTGGAGTGCTTCACAAATGTAGGTTTAACCTTATAAACACTGAAGTTTACTTTCTTAAAAAGGTAATTGTATTTATTCTTGAAATTTTTACATATGGATGCAATGTATCTTGTTTTTTAAGAATGCTTTTCTGATTATAATATGTGTTGATTTTAGAAATTTAACAAGTGCAAAATTGCTCAGCCAGAGATACCATCTTTCACTTCTATACATTTTTATATAAAAGTTCATATTAGTTGGTTGTACATTTTATAGTGTATTATATCCTTTTCATGATCACATGGGCATTTTGTATGCTAGATATTTAAATGCATATTTAAGTAATACATTTTTAAAATATAGTGTATACCAACAGTACATGAGAATTTCTCATCAAGCACTGTACTATTTGTATTTTTTTTTTAAAGCTGTCTGATATAAAGGATGGAGCCAGTCAAGCAGTGCCCCCTGCGTTTGGATTTGGAAGTAAGCAATCAGGGACATTTGGGTCATCAGGTAAGAGACAGAGTGTGGCATCTTTTGCTGACTCAGAAAAGTGGGATTCTATAGGTTTCAACTTTACAAAGCCTGAATCACCACTTTAAATAGTTCTCACAAATTCCTCCATTATGGAGCCTTGAAGAACTTACTTCAACAAATGCTTGGGAAAGGCAGGTCAGAGTAAGGTGTAGTGGGGTGTCCTGTCAAAGATGCTATGGCTCAGCTAATAGAAGCACTTCTGTTTTTGAGACATGGTCTCACTGTGTAACCCTGCCTGGAACTCACCATGTAAACCCGGCTGGCTTGTGATCCACCTGCCTCTGTCCCCAGAAAACTGGGATCACAGATGTGAATGAACCTCCATGCCCAGCTCCAGAAGAACGTTTTAGGAATCTTTTCTCAGCTTCATAGGCAATGGAACACGTGCTGTACATATAATTCTAGCATTCAGAGGTTGAAGTGAAGATCAAAAGTTCACGACTGTAGGGGCAGGGCATACTCTTCTAGTCCCTAGTCCCTGAACACAGAGAAATCCTGTCTCGAAAAAACAAATAATAATAATAACAAAAAAAAAAAAACAAAGTTGAGGGCCAGCCTGACCCTCATAGCAGCACTCTGCCTCAGGGATCTGTGTCTACACATGTCTGAAATAAGAGAAAGGAGTAACATGGCTACATTTATGACTGTAATCTATTTTTGTAGGTTTTCCAGTGAATAACAGCAGCAGCAATAATGTTCAGAACTTTAGTTTTAAAACAAGCTCTGGATTTTCCACTGCCCCGTCTGGAAGCACGTCTGCGTTTGGGAGTCACCCAGCCTTTGGTGCTGGGCCCTCTGCTGGCTCTGCCATCGCTTCCTCCGCTCCAGCCTTTGGATTTAGGAAACCTGAAGCCACATCTGCTGCTTCGTTTTCGTTCAAGAGCCCTGACACTTCCAGTTTTGGATCACCTGGGTTTTCAGGGTTTCCAGCTTCCTTGGCAGTGAGTCCTTTTGGCCATGCAATGGCCCCTGCCTTCGGAAGTGGCAGTTCTGTGCCTGGTTTTGGTAGTCCTGGCCCACAGTCTCAGACTGTGTTTGCCAAACCTTCTAATGACATGTTTGGAGGTAGTAGCATGTCGGCCTCCCTCCCCGTCTCTGCCACAAATAATGTACTGTTCACACCCAGGGATCAGCTGACTAAAGAGGAGCTGGAGCAGTTTCAGTCCCAGAAATTTACTCTGGGAAAAATCCCATTGAAGCCACCACCTGTGGAGCTTCTGACTGTATAAAAGGGCAGTTTCAAATACAGAAAAGAACGGCTTTAGCCAGGCTTGTGGTGCGTGCCTGTAGTCTGGGAGGCTGAGAGAAGGAATGCCACAAACTCAGGGCCAGCTTGGACTGCACAGAGTAAGTAATAAACCACCCAGGTCTGTGTGAGACCCTCCAAGAAAAAGATCTGAATGGTTTTTAAAGAATGTTTTTCTAGTGCTGGGCATCACTAGGCCCTTACACATGCAAGTTCTCACTGAGCCTTACTCCAACCCTAAATATGAATTTTAAGATTGTCTTGGGTGATTGATATGCATATATGAGGAATGTAAGCTTTTAGTAATTTGATGGATTTTCAAGGTTAACATTTTTTTTGAAAACCTAGCTAAATAAAGCACAGCCAAAAATCTCAGTAAGCAAGGGAAACCTTTTGTACTGCTATTATGAGTGGAACTGAAAAGTATAGTGTACTGAATAAAGTAGTTTTTTCATTCTATACTGACTTACTATCCATCCCTTACTAGGGATGTGGAGAGTGGATGCTGGAGGTCAAACCCAGGTACAGTGTCTTATGCATGCCACTGAGCTATATCCCCCAACCGCTAATCTCTTAAAATTCAGTGTATGGGTGTTTTGCCTGCATGTATGTCTGTGTACCACTTGCATGCCTGATGCCTGTGGAGGTCAGAAGAGGTTGTCAAGAGTCCTTGGAACTGGAGTTACAGATTGTGAGCCACCATGTAGGTACTGGGAATTAAAACCCCAGTCCTAACCTCTGAGTTATCTCTCTGGTCCTGATATTTTAACATGGGGGGAGAAACATGGAAGGTGCTGAGGAGATAGCTGAACGGGTAAAGCAATTGCTGCATGCATGCGAGGACCTGAGTTTGGGTCCCCAGCCATTAGGTAGGTGTGGCAGTGCATCAGTCTATCACACCAACACTGGAAGGGCAGAGACAGGTGGATGCCCAGAACTTGCTGACCAACCATTCTAGCTGGATCAGTGATTTCTAAAAACCCTGTGAAAACTAAGGGTGGAGCATGACAAGGATAGACACCCAACCCCAGCCTTTGATGACCGCACATACCTGTGCACAAACATACACGTGCATGTATCAGACCTTACCTAGTGAAAGGTGGGCACTCCAAATATTCATGCATGCATGCAAAAAATTGAGTTCCCAGAGGATCCAGATTTTAGTCCATTTTAACCAGCGTGACTCCCATCTAACTGTTCAGGGGCATCAGCGCGTGCAACCAAACTCATACTCAGGGTCTGATTTTATGCTTGATATTTACAACTCTCCTTGTAATTGGCAAGTAGAATATAAAGCGTTCCTCCTTTGGTCTTGTGTTCCAACAAATAGAACCTAGGCATTCTGCCCCGTGAACCTTAGGGCCTCAAATGAGACCTGCTTGTAGGTGAATGCTTAGTCAGTTTTCCTCGTGAGCTCCGCATACTGGAACTCTAAAGTATAAATGCAGTATCTGCCGGTACCTGCTGTCCTTCGGAGGAGGCTTGCTGTACCCTCCATGTGGCAGAGGGAGAAACCGAGAAGTGATGCAGGCTGTGTCCTTACACAGAGTGAACCTGTCCTCTCAAGGCCATCCATAAGGGTCTTCTTAGGGCCACCTGAGTACAGTCACACTGGCGATTACGTCTCAGCATAGGAATGGGAAGGGTGCATTCTGAGCCTAACAATTGATCACTGGCTCCTTAGGTTCCAGTTAACTCCAAGTCTTTAAGGCTCTAAGGATATACACAGAGGACCTCATTAGTCTCAAGTTTGTCAGATTATAATAACAATATACCTGCCAGGCATAGTCCTTTGTAATCCTAGGGCTAGGGCTAGCCTAGTCTTCTTGGTGAGCTCCAGGCCAGTAAGCTACCCATTTAGAAAACAGGGTAGATGGCACCTGAGGACCAACACCAGAGGTGGCCCTCTGGCCTCCACAAGCATGTGCATGTCCGTGCACACACATGCTTATCATGTACATGAAAAACCCTGGGTCACCTTGGGTCTGTTATACCCAGAGGATATATCCAGGCTATGGGGCCTTTCCACTGGCCAGGGCTTGGGAATAAACTGAGTATTCCAGGTGATCCCCTAGGCAAGTTTGGGAAACAAGCCTATCTAGAAGCATTTTTAGCTACTTCAAATATTTGACTTGTAAGCTTGTTTTAATTTCGACTCTGTTTCTGTGGTCCTGCACCTAATTGAAAAAAAAATTACCAAATAGTGTAAAGTCAAAAAATGCTACGAGTTAGCTAAAAATCTAAAACTAAAAGCAGCATATCCCACAGTGTAAAACCAAACTGTATTCATGTGCACTGACACTGGTGTCAGGAGCTAGCCAACTTAAGAATTCCTAGACTCCGGGGGGCTGGAGAGATGGCTCAGAGGTTAAGAGCACCAGTTGTTCTTCCAGAGGTCCTGAGTTCAATTCCCAGCAACCACATGGTGGCTCACAACCATCCGTAATGAGATCTGGTGCCCTCTTCGGGTGTGGAGATATACATGGAAGCAGAATAATGTTGTATACATAATAAATAAATAAAATAATAAAAAAAAACAATTCCTAGACTCAAGTAGACTAGAGAAAGCTGACCTAACTAACCCCTAGAGAGACACAAGCAAGGGCTTGTGTCACATTTGTGCTCATCTGTCAGCAAGAAGCAGTTGTAGGGGAGCTGAGCAACTAATGAGTCTCCCAAACAACTCACTCCCTTCACAGCAGCAGCTTCTTCACTCACTCAAGCGTGCCCTGAGAACTGATTAGGAGACGTGAGCTGGGCATCTGCTGAACTGTATAAGAACTACCTCAGCAGTTCTTGGCACACAAGACATCTGGCCCCCAAAAAGAAAGTAAGTACAGGTTTAAAAGGCATATAAGCCAGATGTGGTCTACAATCCCGGCAGTCAGGAGAACAACAGATTGTCTTGAGTTTGAGGTCACAGTTCCAGGGCAGCATGGCCTCAGAGTAAACTCTTGGCTTTAAAAGGCACATGATTTAGCTACACCAAAGAATGACAGTTCTGTTTAAAACATCAGTGATAATTTATATATTGGAATATAGCCTTTTTTTAAGTGACCTGTAAGAACAAAATAACTGGAAAAGATTCTGTAAACAGCCTAAAAAGGGTTCTATTAACTACTATGCAGGATGTGATCATATATATATGTATGTGTATGCATATATGTACACATACATATATATGTATTGTAACAGGCAGTGTCCTATTTTATATATGTGGGCTAATTTCATCTTGCCTATGATCTAGGTGCTGTAACCATGATCTGCATTTTCTAAATGAAAATACCAAGATCTGGAGACGTTAAATGCCCACCTGAGGTCAATCAGCTAACAAGAGACTGGATTGGATTCCTTGTCACACCACTGGGGGTTGCTCCTGGGTTTGAGTCCTTCCTCTGTTTTGTCAGTATTTGCTGGACACGCATTGCTTTGGGATGTGCTCCGTCAGCTTTCCTCTCACCAGAATTCACTGCACCAGAACAGTGCCATTGGTGAAGATCAGTACCCTAAGATGCAAAGTAGTGCAGGTCTCTCGGGAGACGCGGAGCTCTGCACTCCCCCCCAAAGCGCCACCCCATTTGCTCAGATGCAAAGGCACTGAAAGAGAACATGAGAGTGCCAAAGACTCCATGGAGTCTCGGGGGCAGGGGGCTCACACAGCCAGGTGTGGGGGTGTTGACTGTGATGCTGGGTGGAGGCCAGTGCCAGTACTGGACCACTTAGCTAGTCCACATCTCAGCAGCAAGCTTCTAAGCAAAGAGACAGAAGAAAGGGTTTGAGGTGAGTCATCTTTACCTTGTCTTTATACCAGCTGGGTGAGATGGAGCAAGCTAACTGTAAGTCTTATCCAGAGCCAATAGCATCCATGTCCGTGATTATGGGAAGGCTAAATTTGAAACAGTATAAGTGTTCAGCACAAAAACTTATGGTCCAAATTTCATTAATAAGGAAAATAACACTGGGTCTTTATAGAAAAGCTGACAGGCAGAAACTTGCAGGGAAGTGATGTCCCCTACCCTCCTGGCTAACATTGTCTTCAATGTTCCATTTTGTTTTGAGGTAGAATCTCACTGTGTCTCTCATGCTGACTTTCAACCTGCAGTCCTCGTACCTCGGCCTCCCAAGTGTTGAGGCTCAAGCATGTGCTACAATGCCCGGCCAGCCTAAGTGGTCTGAGGCAGTCTTAGTTACTGTTCTTTTGCTGTGAAGAGACACCATGACCATGGCAACTCAGTAAGAAAGCATTTAACTGGGGCTGGCTTACAGTTCCATTATCAGCAAGGCAGAGAGCATGGGACAGGCAGGGGACTGCTAGAGAAGTAGCTGAGAGCCACATACATCCTGACCCATCGGCAGAGAGAGACATTGAGTTTGACCCGGATTTTTGAAACCTCAGCATTCAACCTACAATGACACACTTCCTCCAACAAGGCCACACCTAATGGTTCTAATCCTCAGAGTTCCACTCACTGGGAACCCAGTAGTCAAACATTCTGAGCCTACTGGGGGACCGTTCTCATTCAGACCACCACCTACACATCACTCCAATGTTACTTCTTTATACACAGCCTAATGACTATAATAATGAGCAATGGTATACTATTTTGTATCTTATTACGTACAAAACATCTTGAAGAACTTTCCATGTTAGTAGCATACAGATTTATATGGCTGTTGTCCATTACTGACTGATTTAACCATACCCCCAGTTACGGGTCGACAATATGGAAGTGGCAGATTCTAGAACATAGTTCTTTACACCATTGGGAGTATAACTGAAAATGCTGAGTAAAAATTGTGAATTACTAATTTTGTTATTAAATGCCCTCTGCTTCCCCACAATATAGGTCTTGAAAACAAGCCGCTGTTATTAGAGAAGAGCGGGTGCCAATGGCTTTGCTGTAATTAATTTATTTAGCAAAAAGAACCACACGGGTAGAGGGCTATTTATGGGTTCAGGGCTTGAAATGTCCCCACCGCCCCTGCGGTAGAATTCTAGGTCCCCAGCTAGTGGTGGTGGTGTTCCAGATTGTGGGAACTTGAGGCCTAGCTGGGGGAAGTATGTCAGTAGGGGTGGGCATGTGCTTGTTGACTGCCATGTGTAAACGGCTCTGTTCTACTGTGTCCTTCCTGCCATGAGCTGAAGCCAGGGTTCCAAACAGCCCTTAAGTTGTTTCTCTAGGGTACTCAGTCAGCTATGGTGGAAGCAGCTAGGGCAGGGGTTGATCCGCCATGTTTCTTTGAAAGTATAGGGTGTGCTCTGCCAAGTTTATTTTTCATTAATTATTTTTGACACAAAGTCTCACTGTGTAGCTCTGACTGCCCTGAATTCACTATGTAGAGGCTAGCCTCAAACTCAATCTGTTTGCCTCTGCCTCCCAAGTGTATTGCATTTAAAGGAGTATGCCCCTATGCCCGCTTGCCACCATGTTTCTTTTAACACTCTTTCAAGGAGCCCC